TGCAGAATAGTATATATGCTGTGGCCTTTGTGGACAGTGGAAAAATAGAGTGATGTATCCCTAGTTGCTTTCATTGAACAGTTTTAGAAGGATATGGATCCTTCTGGAAAGATAAATGAATAAATGGGAAGATACTAGTAATAGGAAGAAAAAAATATTTTTAAAGTACTGCATGCTTTAAAAATAAATTTTCAACTATAATCATATGCATGTATTATCTTCTGAGAAACATATTTCAAAGTTATAGCTTAATGTAAATAGAAAGCAATACAGCATCTTTTCAGTACATGCACTCAAGTGACTGAACACAGGCATCCTTAGGATCAATAATACATTAACAGTTCTGAGGTTATCACAAGGAATTCATTTGAATATGACCAAATTCCCCAAGATGACTTGACACTGAAAATCATAATATCCAGCTTCTCTTTCTCTACATCAAGAGTTCTCAAGTTTTTCTTCTTAAGCTCTTCATTTCAATTCTTTATGTTGTGACTATTTTTACCATTTACGTCGTGATGTTTATAAATATGGATTTGGAGATCACTTAATGCTACACCACTGTTTTTTATTTTACTTCCATTTGTTATGCTGTTGTTTGTTTTGATTTATTTATTGTTATTTTATTTGTATGGAGTGTTTTGTCTGCGTGTATGTAAGTGCACCCATGTCATATAATACCTGCAGAGGCCAGAAAAGGGTATCAGATTCCCTAGAACTGGAGTTACAGGTGGTTATTAGCCATCATGTGAGTACTGGGAACTGAATCCAGGTGCTCCAAGAGCAGCCGGTAATTTTAACCACTGAGCCATCTCTACAGGCCCTGCATTTGGTTAATAGTATTTTTATTTATTTTTATTTATCTTTGAACATTTTGTACATGCATAAAATGTATCTTGATCATATCCACCCCCACTTCCTCTTCTGACTCCCCCTAGGCTCGCCCAACACAATCCCTTCCCAATTTCATATCTTTTTTCCTCTTTAAAAATAATCCACCGAGTCCACTTAGTGCTACCCAGGTATGCATAGGTATGGGGCCATCCACTGGAACCTGGGCAACCTACCAATGACCGCACCCCAACAAGAGAAGTAACTCTCCCTCCCCTAGGAGCCATCAACTGACAATAGCTCTTCAGCTAGGGATGGGGTCTTGGGAGCTTCTCAATGGAATTTTAACTAGCTGGATGTAGGGCAGATCTAGTGCAGATAACCACAACCCCTGTGAGTTCCCATGCTGCACCATTTTGGGTTTGCATGACCTTGGATGGTGAACCTTATCTTCCACATGTGTAAAACAGGTGAAACAAGGTGGCATCTTAAGGTTTGCTGTGAGCATTTAGCAAAGCATTGACCTTTATAAAGCTCTTAGTCTAGCACATGTTCAAACTTGTTGAGTCTCTCTGCTACTACCATACAGGCTTTTGAGACTACCTAGTGACTCCAAACTTCCCTGGGTTCTGAACAGCCGTGTGTTATGGTAGAAGCTCTGCTTATCAGTCTTACAGAAGAGGTCTAACGTGGAGCATCACCTTCACTCAGCTCACGGAGTAATGACACCTTTGCTGTTTAGACACCGAATCATAAATTTATGCTTATTTACTACCCTTAAATTAAAATTTCTTTGGTTAAACACACTGAGTTTCCATATAATAACTCCTTTACTCTTAAATTCAAATATAATATCCACTGTGCATTAAAAAGTCATCAGTATTTTTAGTACCTATGTACCAAGTGCTCTCCAATTCTTTTTATTATGAAATGTAATTTGCTTCAGAAAGAATTAACTTAGTGTCTCTCAATCATTATAATGGGGATATTTTATGTGACTTTTATTATGTTTATGTAATAGACATCATCTCAGTTTAAAGGAGCATTCTTCTCCATATCTGTAATCCAGATTATTAGTAATGAACTTAGTCAATTAATAATAAAATTAATATTACCTAAACATGATGAATAATCTGTTCTAGTAAACAAGAAATGTTTGTGGAAGGGCATACCCTGTTGGTATAATCTTAAACCTTAGAAAAGATTAGAGTCTAGATTGACTGTCAGAAAACAATGTGGACCACAATGCATCCAAAATTGAATAATGACAAATTTTTTAAATAAATCTCTTCTCTCTGACTTTCCTTAGCATCTGTACAACGAGAGACTATCAAGGGAATTATTAGAACAATTACAAATTATGCTTAATCCTTGGGCTAGAAAGCAGAAATTCTCAATTAAAAAAAAACTAAGTCCTCATTTTATTAATATAAAGATGTGACTCAAGGAAAAATTGAAGTTACTTTTGTTATTGAAAAAAATACCCAGAGTGTATGTCATAAAACAAATATTAGCTCATCCCTTGGGGATATAGAAAAAGAAATCAATCCTGAGATTAGATTGAAATCAACTAGGCAACATGTAAAAGAATTACAATATAAATATGAAATGATGAAAGGTGTGGTAGGAAAGCTGAAGGAAGAGTGGCCACAGAAATATCTTCCATTTTGATTAGATTTTGTAAAATTATGACAGTTTAATAGGCAAAGATGGTGGACAAAGTTATTTTGAAGAAAACAGATAGCATGAAAACTAGCTAAGGGATGTTGTCAAGATGCTCGTAGGACTAAACACGTGGACTCCAGTGTAAAACAGTGATGAACGGAACAAGCAACAATACAACACAAAGCTGAGAAGTTAGGTCTCTTCTCACAAGCTGTGAAAAGCCAGGAAAACTACTTTGACTGGGGTGGTGAGATAACTGAGCAGGCAAAGGTACTTGCCACCACGCTGAAAGTCTGAGTTCAATTCCCAGAACCTACATGGTGAAAAGAAAACCAGCTCCTTCAAGTTGTCCTCCTGCCTCCATAGAGGCACCATGGCACAAACTTACCCACAATAAAATAGATAAAAGGAAATTTTTATATAAAATAAGAACTTTGATCAAAAGAATGATTTTATAGGGGCTGGAGGGACGGCTTAGGAGTTAAGAGTGCTTGCTGCTCTCCAGAGGACCTGAGTTTGGTTCACAGCACCTACACTGAGTGGTTCACAGCTGCCTTTAACTCCAGTTCCAGGGCCTCTAACACCCTTTTCTGGCCTGTGTAGACACCTGCAGTCATGTACACATACACACACATATTAAAATAAAATAAAATCTTAAATAAAATATTTTTCACAGCTGGAGATATGGCTCAGTGGTTAAGAACACTTTCTGTTCTTGCAGAGGACCCCGGTTCAGTTCCCAGCACCCACATAGTGGCTAACAACCATCTGTAGCTCCAGTTCCAGGGGATCTGACACCCTCTTCTGGCCTGTGCAGACATTGTACAACATGGGTGTTCTTACACACAAGCAGACAAAACACTCATCTGCGTAATATAAAAATAATTTTTAAAAATCTTAAAATATGAATAAAATTGGGATGTTCTGTATGATATATACACAAAAAAACAATAAATAAAAAATGAGTTATATTTGAGGAAAAAGCATAAAAATTTGCTTCATGTTAGTTGATAAATATGAAAAACATTGCCACTGAAATCCACCTGATGAGTTTATACCTATGCTCAGGTGCCAAGGATCTCAGAAAGTAACCAACTGTGACTAGTAATAATCAGATACATAGAGATTAGAGACACATGTGCGAACGTCCAAGCGTTAGTTGCATTAAAAACGAGTTTTGTGGTAGCTCACGCCTTTAATCCCAGCACTTGGGAGGCTGAGGCAGGTGGATCTCTGTGAGTTCAAGGCCAGCCTGGTCTACATAGTGAGCTCCAGGACAGCTGGGGCTACAGGGAAATTGTGTAACTGTATCAATTCAACTGTGAACCCAAAAATTTAGAGCCAATTTTGAAAGAGATGCAACTTTGCTCTTGAAACTGTTATTGACTATGTCAATGCTACTGTAATGAAATGCTTCTACTAATTATGTGGTTATTAAATAAATTTTTTTTAATCTTAAAGGGCTGGAGAGATGGCTCAGCAGTTAAGAGCACTGACTGCTCACCTCCACAGCATTGCATGACACGGGAGCATTCACATACATGCAGGCAATATACTCATACACATAAAATAAAAATAATAAATAAAAAATAATAAAAAGCATTTTAAAAAATCTTAAAATACTTTAAAAAGAATAATTTTTATAAACATTGCTATGGAAAACTTGCAGTAATAATTGGGAATAGACTTGGGTTCTAGGAGAGGGACAATCTTCCGGTAGTTCAGTAAAAACATTTTATCCTAAATTAGTTTCGGTGAAGTAAGGAAGCAATTAGTGCAAATGTGGAGAGACTGAGCAAAATCCATTTGCCAAGTGCCTACTGTGTCAGAGCCTTTGAATTTTATCAATCATCCCAGCTCCCAGAAGTAGGTAATTCCTTTCCATTTTACAGAAATTTGGTTAGCTTAATCATAGTGACCGTCTGAGGTAATCCTGCTGGGTCTCAAACTTGGATTCACTGACTTCTCAAGACTATTCTTGGGCTGGAGAGAGCTCTTACAAGCACTTACTGCCCCTGTAGAGGACCCAAGTTCAGTTCCTAGCATCTATGTCCATGGCTGACAACCACCTGTAACTCCCACTCCAGGGAGTCTGACGCCCTCTACTGGCCTCTACAGGCACCTACATTCATGTACACAAACCCCCACCCATACACAATATAAAATAAGTCTTCAAGGGTCACTCATTCTCTATGACCTCTTTAAACTGATCTAGTTAAGGAGAAAATTTCAGCCACAAGTTACATTGAGATTTTAACTTGAAGTAGTAGTGAAAGCATGGTATCAATCAAAACAGGACGTCGACTATCAGGAGGAGAAGCTCAATCGAGGAGACGAAGCACAAATCCCACCTCTGTCTAACCAGCCCCGCCTCCTGAGCACTAAGATTTCAACATTACCTGAAGAATGGTTATTTGAGAATTTTTCTCTGGTCCTGTTTGGGTCTCTGAATGTTTGATGAATTATGTGATGAGCTACTTCTGAACATTCAATTGTTTTGTCAGGTGAGAAGTTTCCAGACAAGAGCCCTAAGGTGCAGTTACTGATGACATACGAGGATGCGAAGCTCACCATCCTAGTGAAACACATGAAAAACATCGTAAGTTGATTCCATGTCCTAGGAGACCAGCAGCCCTCCACTGGGAAATCCCCTGCCTCCTTTAGGCAATTACTGTCGGCTTTAGGAAGAAGAATGGGTCTAGCAGCCAAGTTCAAATGAGGAACAAGCAGCCAATTCCAATGTTTCTGTCTCAGCGTGATCCCGATCCTTGGGGTAAAGGCTGCAGAATATTTCACAGGGAAAGATGTACAATGAAGACAGGAATTATTTAAAATGAAGTGTCAAGAAAAATCTGTAAACAGGCTTGAAGAAAGCAGGAATTGTTGGACAAAGAAACAGACTGGGACCCAAAAATTTCTGTGGCTCACATTGCTGAGTTCAGCTGGGGTGGAGTGGGGGGCGGGTATTGACTTACCTGCTGCCTGATGCTAGAACCTCTGCTGAGCTCAGAGGACTGACTTTTGCTGCATGGTGCCAATACTTTCTCTGTGAGGCTGTGAGTTCTTAGACTACATTGATTTTATACCATCATCTTAGTTACCACATTCTGATGCCATTGTTTTTTTTTATCAAATTAACTTTTAAATCTATTAATTCATTTTTATTTTATGTATATGAGTGTTTGGCCTGCACATATGTAATGCACCACATGCATGCTATGCCCTCGGAGGCCAGAAGAGGGCGTTGGATCCCCTGGAACTGGAGTTAAAGACAGTTGTGAGCTGCCACTCAGTTCTGGGAATCACACCCACGTCCTGGAAGAACCCAGTGCTCTTAACCACTGAGCAGTCTCTCCAGCCCTCTAATTTCATTGTTTAGGTGTATTTTCATCTCCTCAAAAAGTGTCACTTTTTTGTTGTTTATTTTGAAATTTCTTGGACTTCTTTGAAACAACTTTTCCTATTTTTCAGTCAGACATTTCATTTCTATTTCCTTAATCAGTCAATGGCACTTTTTCTTTTTCAGTGATATTGTTACCCTGATTTTTCTTGTGTGGGGTGTGTGTGTGTGTCTGTGTGTCTGTGTGTGAGCACATTGTGGGGGGTGCATGGGTACATGTGGACAAATGATGTGAAGGTCGGCAATCAATGCCAAGTATCTTCTATCTTATTTTTTGAGTCAAGGTCTCTCACTGAACCTGGAACTCACACATTCAGCTAGACTGGCTGGCCAGGGAGTTCTGGGATCTCATTGTCTCTGCTACCCCTACCTACTAGCACTGTGGCTATAGGCAGACACCTGCTGTTGTGCACAGCTCTTATGTGGGTGTTGGGGATTTGAACTCAGGTCTTCCTGCTTGAGCAACAAGCACTTTATCCACTGAGCCATCTCCCCAGCCATTTCCTGATTACTTTTGATTGTGTATTCCTCCTTGATGTCTACGCATTGAACAGGTGGGTAGTTATTCTAGTCTTTGGAGTCTGCCTTTGTCAGGGGACATCCTTCAACACAGTAAGCCTGTGTAGAAATTCTGGGCAGTTTTCTGTTGTGCTCTCTAACCCTTGGCCTCTGTGGCCACTGCAATGTTAGGTATTGCCTAAGTTTTCCACCTAAGGTTTATCTACCACTGTGGGGTGTTCACAGCCCAAGTTCACTATAGTAAGCCAGTGATTATGGGCTTCCATCCATCCCAGTGAAGATCTAAAGGCTCTACCTGCAGATACAGATCTGGCATCTGGGGCTGTGGGTCTGCTGGGTTTTACTGTAATCAGCTCAGTAATGAACTTCAGTGCAGATTTCTACACTTAACCACCTTCTCTTACCCCTGAACAAATGATAGCTTTCTGGGCACTATTTTACCTTGGTTAGGGGAAGAGTAAGACTGTCACATAAAAATGTCTTCCCCACCCTGATTTTCAACTGTCCCTTTCTTTTTTTGGTAATTTATTTATTTATTTATTTATTTATTTATTTTTTATATGTATAAGTGTATGTAAGTGTACCATGTGCATGCAATGCTCAGGGAGACCAGAAGAGGGTGCTGGATTCCCTAGAACTACGCAGCTTATCATGCCACATTGCAGTTAACACCTGAACAAAACAGCGTGCTTTAGGGTTTAAGAGTGGGGAACTGTGCCCTGGAATTATGTCCCAGAGCCAGGCCTCACCTATGCTTTTATTCCAAACCACCATTTCTCCAGCTTCAATTTTGGGGAACTATAAACTTAGATCCACCCTTATCTTAACAATCCTGCCCTTTCACCCCTAGGTCTAAAACAGCTCAAGCACACACGGTCAAGCAAGTCTCAATGTTCATTGTTTTCAGTGAAGACGGGCACTGTCTTTCAGTGTTTTGGCATGCTCATTCTCAGTCCTAGCCACATCTATTCACTATTTTGGGGTGGAGCAGCAAATTCAGTTTCCCCAGAATCAAAGTCACATGTCCAGGTCACAAGACTACACCATTCCGTGAGTTTGCCAAAGTTAATTAAAGTCATTAGTTCAGATTGTGTCCATTTTATAAAATTCATTCCTACAGAAATGGAGTTATGGATGGCTGTTAACTGCATGTGGGTGCTGGGAACAGAACCCGAGTCCTCTGGAAGAGCAGCCAGTGCTCTTAACCACCAAACCATCTCTCCAACCCCAACTATCCTTTTTGTATTACCATACTAAAACCATATGGTTTAAGATTCTCTCTCTCTCTCTCTCTCTCTCTCTCTCTCTCTCTCTCTCCTGGTTTCTTTAGCTCTTGGGAAGATATTTTTGTGCATAGCTAGCTGTTCAGAATGGTGCTTCTGCAGACGGGACTATTTCCAGAGAGTCTTCATCCACTATTTCGCTCTAATCTTCTTTTCCTAAGATGTTCATACTTCCGAATAAAGCTACTGCTTCACATGTTTAATAAGGCTCAGATGTTGCAGGCAGTGAAGGCTCTGGGAAGGTCTTGTGGAGAGATAGTCAGTCATGGATGTCATAGTCGGAGATGAGACAAAGTAAGGAAAGAGCTTCAACTACAAGAAGAGCACTCAAGTGTCCCTCCTCTCAGAGTGAGTTTGCTCCCCAGGGTTTTGGACTGAACAACGCCATAGATGTGAAAATTATTCATAAAACTGGGAGGGGGGAAAGAGAATTTCAAGAATTTGGGGGGGTTCCAAGAATAGAGTTTATTCTTTTTCTATTCCTTTTTTTGTTTTGTTTTTATTAGCATAGATTAGTTATACATAATAATGGGTTTCATTGTGACATTTTCACACATGCGTATAATGAATTTTGATCACAGTCCCCCCGCTTCCCTCTCTTGTTCACCCCTACATACACACTTCTACCTGAACCCCTACCTCTTCCCTTCTACTAGTATGTCTTTATTTCCTTTTTATTAACAATGAGTTAAATTAGGGCTACTTACCTGAGCAAGGGAGAGGATTACCTACAAGAGCATGAGCAACTTACCGTGGCTACACACCGAAGAAAATGTCCAGCTCTCCCCCAGCAGCTGTGAACTGCCTATAGGGCCTCAGGAAGACAGAGCCTGAGAGCCGCTCCCTCTAAAGTGTTAGATGTTTTTCTAATGAGGACCCCATCTTTGCATGCCTAGAACCAAGACCAAAATCTGCAATTATATTCTAAGGATAACTGAATGCCCCTTCTTTCTGTTGCTCCCCACTCCAGGGTGGGTAAAGTCAGAGGCCAGAACATTAGCTGAAGCTTGTCTTTAAGAAAGGGAGTGATCTGTGACACAGTGGCTGATAAAGGATCTGAGTTGGAAATAGGAAACAGGAAAGGGAAACTCTAAATGTCACCAGCTCCTCCAGTCTTCCTTGGGTCTAGACACACAGGCCTTCCTGGTGATGCAGCTACAAGAACACTGCATCCGATGTGGAGAAAGTCAGCAACATAATTTTGGCTCTTTTCCTCACGCACATGTCTTTCAGGGTGTCTTTGAAAGGATCTAAAGGAGCAATTTCTTCTCCACATGACATGCATCTGGCATACACTAAATATTAATAAATATTTGTTCAGTGAACAAATAATTGGCATAATTTTCAGGAAATACATCCATTACAAACAGTATTAGCCAGAATGCCAAGGGTGCTTGTTGCTAAGTCTGTGGTGATCACAGTTGGCAAGTTTTGTAATATCTGGACAAATGTTTTTAATTTTGGAGGTATTTCACTATTAAAATAGTTATTTGGGGGCTAAGGCTATATCTCAGATGGTAGAGTCCTTGCCAAGCGTGCATGAAGCCCTGGGTTCCATCCCCATCACCCCATAAACCAGGCATGGTGACATGTCTCTGTAATCCCAGCACTCAGGAAGATGGAGGCAGGGAGGCAGAGGATCAAATGTTCAAGGCCATCTTCAGCTACTCAGTGCACTTGAGGTAAGCCTGGGGTACATGAAACCCTATCTCAAAAGACAAAAATAAAATAATTTTCCTCCATTGTTTTTGATAAGAACATCATCTTAAATCGGAATAGCAGTTGTTCAAGAAACTTCCTTGGAAACTGAAAATTCAGTCAGATGTTATTTGTGATTACATAGACCTTAAGCATCTATGTAAACGTGATAAAACAATAGAATATTAAGAAAAATTTTAATTAAAATAATATATGAATTTATTACTGTTTGTTAGCCTTGAAGATGGTTCTCTCTGAAATTATACATTAGTTTAAGTAATGTTTCCATTACTAAAACGTTTTTAGACAAAGCCTACTGAAATTCCTTTCAGCTCTGACATATACACTCCACAGTGGGTGATACTATTCAATGGTCACGCCTCATTTTTGATCAAAAGCAATATTAACTAAGTTGGTCACCCATTGCATCTACCAGATGAATTCCCAAATTACTTGTGACAGTTTGCAAAACTGCATTTTACACTTATGAAGTTGTGCCTACCGACGAGGCTATCCAAAGCCAGTGTGACGAAACACAAAGGGTCACAGTGGGAAAGAGCAAAATCTTGAAATAGACATAAAGCTGGGGTAAAGGACCGGGGACTGTGGATCCCACTGAAGGTTAAAAAATGTCCACGCATTTTCAATTCCCCCAGGAAGTTAATAATTTTCTCATCCTGCTTCTCAGTCTGCCCCTCT